GTGCACTGTTTGCTGCATGTTTGGTTCTCAATTGAAACAAAAGCATAGGTTTGCATAGGGCATGCAAACCCAATCTTTTATGACAGTTTTGAGCACAAGGCAAATCCTTGAGCAAAAATTACTTAATTGCATGAGGCTGCAATTAAACACCTATTTAAGTGCTTAAGATTAATTCTAATCTTAACCAATCACTTAAATCACCTGGAGTTTACATTCTTTAGGGAATCACACTCTGAAAACTTCATTAACTTGAGCCCTTCCTGAGCCAAGTGTCTAGCATCTAAATTTCTGATCAGGGTAGATTTCCAAACCTTTAATAAGATTTGGGGACATTCTAGTTTGACATTTGACACATAATAAAATAGACTTGGAGCCACAGAATTACCTCAGTTTATATACAGATATAAGACCCAATACTTTCTTCACTTTCACTGGCTCTTCAGCAACATAATTCTAGCACTAAAATTTCCCTCAGTGGAGATCTCTCTGATTTATATTTTTAAAAGCGAGAGGTTTAAGCTCCCAGGCATTGGCTTAGTCTTTAGCCAAACTTAGTCTTAGGCTTAGTCAAACATTTGACGTTGTTTTGACACACTGAGACAGAGAAACCTAGACTTTGTTTTGATTTCATATGTTTCTTTATTACAACAACCCAGGACCTTTTTTTTAACCTTTGTTCTTGGATTTATTCTTGGAAATCTTTCTTTGGCCCATCTTTCTCATATGAAACTTTTATTCATGAAATTTTCCTCCTGCTTGCCAAAGTAAAGGTTCCGAGGCAGAAATAAACAGTTTTGACATCAAACCCATTCAATTAAACCACTCTGTGCAAAGCAAAGGTGTATTTTAGAAACTATTTCTGTGCTAACTGAATAAATTCCCCTTCAACAGAGCAAAACCAAATGCCACCATGAATGGGAAATGCTTCTAGTCATTCTAAAAAAGAAAAAGAGAGCCAATTTCAATGTCCTAACTTCAGACCCCCTAATCACTTTAAAAATTACTCTTGTAACTCATGAACTACCATTTTTTCAAAACGCTGCAGAAGCTGATTCACTAGAAATTTTTGAAAGAAGTGGCTGTGTTATCTTGCATCTTGCAGGGATTCATAGATGTGTAAGCTAAAAGAATATATCAGCTTGAATTAGAAGCACTCAAAATGGGCAAAGTTCCCATTTTAAAGATATATAAACAAATCAAGACTCTAGTAAGACTCCTAATTCTCTGATTACTTTGTTATTCTTTTCTATTATTTAAAAGATAAAATCTGTGTAGAATACATTGTCCTGCAGAGCTGGCATCTGGGTTTCTCAGCCTTAGAATAAACCCATGCATTGTTCACATCTATAATGAAATGTCACTGTGTTAATTTAGGCGACTTAAACTTCACCCAACTTTTTCTCTATTTTAGGTCACTTTTTCTCAATCTCCCTCTACAGAACCCTTCAGTAAGTTTTAGTCCTTCCTGGCTACAAAAGTATATGAAAGAGATAAACAAATCATGCTTCTAAATCAACATTGAATTGCAATTGCATTGCAGACTGTTTTGGACAGAATAGAGGATCTAAAAACATTTGGGCTACATCTCTTCAAAGAACTCTG